ACGCACGCACGCACGCACGCACGCACGCACGCACGCACGCACGCACGCACGCACGCACGCACGCACGCACGCACGCACGCACGCACGCACGCACGCACGCACGCACGCACGCACACACACACACACACACACACACACACACACACACACACACAGAGCACCGTATCCTCGCCCAACTGACGTTATTCGGGACCGCCGATGTTTTTCAGTCGCGCTCTTCCCAGTGATCCGCCTCGCCCCTGCTGCTGCAACCCCTGTGCGTCGCACCCCTTCCCTCGGGGACTGGGACAAGGGAGACGGGGTTGCAGAGGGCGACTTAAAGCCTGTGTTTCCTCCTGGGGTTGACTCCTGCGCTGCTGCAGACCCACGCACTCCTGCAACAGCAACCCCTACACGTCCCACCCCACCTCTCGGGGATTGGGACAAGGGAGACAGGGTTGCAGAGGGCGACTTAAAGCCCATGGCCCCTCTCGGCGTTGGCTCTTGGTCTTGGAGTGATGCAGACCCACGCTCTGCTGCTGCCTGCATTTGCTGCGAGTCTGGAGCCAAGGAGTGCTGTGCGTGTGGCTGCGGTACCGAGGTTTTTGGAGGAAAGGGTTCCTGTGCGTGTGCCTGGGAAAATTCTGGCTGCATTGCTGGCTGCACTAGAGGATTTGGTTGCAGGAGATGCAGCGGTGGGGACGGCCCTTGAGACAGTTCAAAACGCAGATCTGGCGACTCGGAGCGGTGTAGTGCGGTGCTGGCAGGTGCTTGCGTTTGGAGTCGCCTTATCAGGGTGCTTATAACCGCTTGCCTCTGCTGGTGTGCGAGGAACGAGACTGGCATGGCAGGAGCATTCGGAGCATCTGGAGCATCTGGAGCAGCAGTAACAGCAGGCGCAGCAGCAGCGCCTGCGGCAGCAGAACCACCAGTGGCAGCACCATCATCAACAGCAGCAGCGGCGAGGGGGAAGGCGGCCACGCAGCCGTCAAGTCGCACCCTACGTGCCATCTCCAAGGGATGGGGCAGAGGCTGCATGAGAGCAGCAGCAAGCTGGTCCAAAGGGTTCTGTGGCAGACACACGCCAGTATGTGTGGGGCTCACGCCAGCACGTGTGGGCCACGTGTCAGGGTGTGTGGGGTCCAAACCAGAATATGTGGGGCTCACGCCTGGACGTGTGCGGCACACGCCTTCGTCTCTTGAGGGAGTGGTTGCAGTAAAAGCAGGTGCAGCAGCAGTTGCAGCAGCAGGGGCAGCGGCAGTCGCAGCAGCAGACCAGCAGGAAGGCACAGAAACAGGAGTAATTCTTGACACTGGTGTTGCAGGGGTAAGAGCCGCCAAAGCAGGAAGGGCTGCTGCAGCTGCAGCATTCCGCGGCGACTTTTGAGGCGCCTCAAAAGCAGGAAGGGCTGCTGCAGCATTCCATGGTGCATTGATCTTGGCAATACAGCCCCGGCTTTTCTCAGCGAAAACGAGAGTGCTGCTGTTAGAGAAAATACTAGCAGCAGCCGCAGCAGCACCACGTGGTTCAATGGCTGCAGCAGGAGTAGCAGGAAAAGCAGTTGTAACAATAGCAGCGGTTGCAGCAAGAGGGAGAGCAGCATCAGCAGCCGCGTGGTTACCACGTAACCGCTTGCTCGCCTGAAAAGCGTCCATTTGGGCGAGGCCGTTGATCTGGGCAGTGAGAAGCCTTCGCTTCGCGCCAAACGTTGGTACGAAGCTTGGAGAGTTGAAGGCTTCAAATGCTGTTGAGGCGTTGAGGACAGGAGGAAGGGACGGTGAGGGGAAGGAGGGACCGGCAGGTGGAGGAGGAGAGGTGCTGAGCTGCGTCGACGGCTGACTTGACAGCTGCTGATTGGGCGGAAGATGCTGAGTCAGCAGCGGCGCAGGAAGCAGCGGAAGGGAACGACCAGATTCATCCCGCGTCTGAGTCAGCATGGGGTTGGGAAGGAATAGCTCCCCAAAAGCCCCATTCCCAACAGAATGATCATGCAGAAGCCGCCCTGCTGAGGGTGCTACTCCTATTAGACTCTCTCCTTCACTCTCCCGCGCTCTCACCACTGGCACTCGCACCACTGGCAGTGCGTGCCGCTCCGCGCTTACTAAAGCACGCTCGGCGATCAAAGCGGGCTCGGAATCTCCCAGCCCGTGCTGCGCGGCGGCGGTCAAAGTGGAGTCACCCAGCCCGCCGGGCTGCTCGGCGCGCTGCAGAGCTTCGTGGATCAGGCGGAGCTCCTCCCTGCCGATGCTGCTCCAATCCGATTGAAGCGCCAGCGCGGCTTGAAGCTCCCCGGTTGGGAGCGCGTCGAAACACGGTTCCCCCGCTGCCAGAGGCGCGGCGTCAAAATGCGGCTCCTCCGCTACTAGAACCGCGTCGAAACTTGGTTCCTCCGTTACTAGTGGCGCCGCGCCCAGGCAATCCATGAGGAGAGTCGGACCAAGTTAACGTGACGTTGACGGACTATTCCTTGTCACTGACACTACCCCAGACGAGTCTATTGAGAAGCCTCGAAACAGAACGAAGAGCGGAAAAGGATTCTCTCGAAGGAATCGTCGGAAACGACTGGTAGCCACTTGCTGGGAGATAAGAGATTAACAGGCCAGGAAAATCTGTCCCAGAATCCATGCATCAGCCTTATTACTCGTACCAGCTGGCATTCTATGAAAACAGATCTGGAGAAGCTGACCAAGGCAGGAAATACAATGGCTCTTTCAGATGCTAGTAATAGATGCATCATGCTGTCTCGCGTCGCGGCATGGGGGATGCTTTGGAGTCCTTTGGAGAGGGGAGGACGAAAAGCACTCTCGCGACGCGGCGTGGGACTGACTGACATTTAGACAACTTGCAAACCGAGCAATGCGTGGCGAGGGTGTGTGAGCCAATAATTGGCGACATCTTTAACGTCTGAGTGGAAACTGGGCCTGCTAGCCGTCAGAGGTAGATGACACTTTGCCAATCAGGCTGCTGGGACCGTCAAAAACATTTCAAGTCGGTGTAGATTCTCAGAATCTGGTTTCGCGTCGTACAGGCGGCGGGATCGCAGGCATCATTCACGCCGCATGCATGATACCGTAATGTCGTCATGATGGTATTACCACCGGTGATGATGTAAGCCCTGCTGGCGTGGTGCCCCCATCCCAGCATGGTGACCTCTGCGACTGTCATAGCCGAACATAGCGGGATGCTGTGGTGGACTGTACACACCGTATATCCGTAGTACACCGAAATGGGAGAAGATACACCTGTCCGGTTCGGAGACAGAGACAGAGACGGAGACGAAGACGGAGTAAAAAAACGCGTGTGGTACTGTAGCGAGAACCGCGGTTCTCTAGGAGGATTCCCCCCTACTTGCCCGTTCGCACCTCCAGGGAACACTGTTACTGCCATTACTCTCACCGTCACTCTCACTTACGCAAACCAAACCTCACCTGCCTCACGCACTCACATCACAGCACATTGAATTACGTTTACGTGAGCGGATCTGCGCGAGATTACGAAGGCTGTTTGTGTGGCCGTAACAGCTTCACTTGACCCTAGGAGAAGCGAACGGACGTGAGGTTCTTCTCGAGAAGAACCGTCCTAGATTATCGTGATCTGTCCTTCATAGGAAGGATCGTCATGAGGACTCAATTGTGGTTATGGACGAGATAGGCCCTCCGCAATAACCAGAACCGTGTGACCTATAACATCGCAAGGAGAACTTTGGGATACCTCGTCCCGTCCGGCACCATCGCCTTCCAGCTTATGTCACAAGACTAACTGCACGTCAGCAGCCCTAAACGGAAATCTCTTGGAAACAAACATCGCAACACACGATCCTGATCCCTATGGCTGTCTGTGCGTCTACGACTAAACTGGTCGGGTGAACTGAAGACGCAAATACAGATTGGAGTCTGAAGAGCCAATTGAAGAAGAGAACGTTCAGTACACACGATGAGAACATTCGGGCAATCAGGGAATCACGTTCGCAGAGCACGAAAACATGATTGCGAAAAGCGTAGGGGCGATTGGAGCAAGCTGCGGTGCGATACAGTACAGCGAGAACGATACTAGCTAAGGTAAATAGAGAACGATACTGATACACAGAACAGATGTGATTTTCACCAGCTAAGGTAAATAGAGGCGAAGGAGGAGGTATTTTCAGGGTGGCTGTCCCCGTTTCAGGGGTGCGGAAAAGAAGAGTGACTCAGGGGAATGGTATGGTAACCCAAATGAAAACAAACATGGCAGAGTGTGGAGATTGGTCAACCTCTGTAATAAGCACATCTCGTTTCCTCCAGAATCATTTTCCGAAGTTTCCATGTTCTGGAACTGACCATGATGGTATCCTGCCAATTGTCGAACCTACCCTAAATTGAACGCCAGTTGAAGCAGGATTAGCATATTCATGACCCTAAATTGAGCCCCAGTTGAAGCAGGAATACACATGTCCTCCGGTAATTCCACACCTGATATCTTTACGATCTGGGTTACCTACCCTCGAGAAAACTAATTTCGAAGGTAGTTCGCAACGCTCGAAGAAATTTCAGGGATAATCTGACACGATCCCAATGCAAGCTTACGCAGGAACAATCTGGCACTTGAATTTTCCCCGCTCATTCAGATAGTTCGAGTTTCGAAAGGACGGTACCTGATGGTTAGTTCCTGATAGACCCGCAATGCCAGAGCGTCCGTCTCCTCGAAGCCTCAAACCATATAGGGTGTCAGGGAAAATTAAAAGTTCAGGGTGTATAAATATCGGAGAACAGGTGTAGTATATTCATGAATCCGCAGCGCCAATACGCAGGATTAGATTCCCACAATACAAGCTGACTCAGCACGCGAAGTGATTTGCTCAGGGGACCTGTACACCTCACCTCACCTCATCTGTTCTAGAGTATTTCAACGAAGACCAGAGGGCAACATACAGTACAATGGGTCTCACACCATGCTTGGTCATTTGTATCTATCTATACATTGTGGTACCTTAAATACGAGGTTGGAGTTAACAAGGATGTTGTTTTAGACTTCAACGTGCACTTCAGATGTTTTTGCAGGAGCGTTTATTCTCCTGCCAAAGAAAGAAACAAACCTCGGCCATAAGCGATCTCGGCTTTACCGTGCTTCCTAATAAACAAAGAAAGTGCGGACAGGAAAAAATATGTAAGGAAAATAACAAAAGCAAGAGAGGAACTCTACCGATGGAGACTGGGTGTCGGAGTGAGGACGACTCGGATCACATGCTGGCACTCCCTTTCTCTTGGCACGACCCTTCACTTTCAGTTGCTGCTGCAAGCGCTCCACCTGAATTGCCAATTCACAACAGAAAGCGTTGACAGACGGTGCAATTTTGTAACAAAAGATGCATGACAACAGTCACCTGTTCAGATATAGATTTAAGCCGATGTATTTGTCAGTTGTACCAACCTTGCAGATCAACCAGATGTGGTCAGGTGTACCAACCTGGTCAGGTGTACCAACCTGGTCAGGTGTGGGGTTGATGGGAGTGCAATCAGAGTTTCCGTCATACTCCTTCCCACACACAGGGCACTGCCTCTCCTTCAACTGATTGAAGTTGAGGGAGAGAGGGAACGGAGAAAGGGTGAAACAAAAGTGGGAAAGATCACAAACGGGAGGAAATCCCACGTGAAAACAATGTCTAAAATTCATACGAAAGGCTTCACCTGAGCCATCACTCGGAAAAATCACGAGTCAACTGAGATATCACCCATGCACGTGTCATCTCTCCCCTAGGGACACGTGGCACTAAACCCCACCTGAGCCAGTACTAATAATACGTGGCACTATAAACCTGCCTGAGCCAGTGCTCGTGTGCTGAATGCATGTCCGCAGGGACGGAGGAGAGAGAAGCTGTGCAGAGAGTGACGGGAATGGGAGGGAAGTAGGGTGGGGGCGACATAGTTGAGGTGGGAAATCATGAGGGCTTCCAATCCAACTTCCAAGCAGTGACTTTTGAGGCGCCTCAAAAGTCGTCTCATTACCCGCAATTTTTTAGGCGCCTCAAAAGTCGTCTCATTACCCGCAATTTTTTAGGCGCCTCAAAAGGGAAGTAGGGGGGTGGGGGCGACATAGTCGAGGTGGGAAATCATGTGGGCTTCCAATCCAACTTCCAAGCAGTGCCAATGACACCAAGTCGAAACACGAAATGACACATGCAGTAGCAGTCCCACGTGCATGCGATGTGCATGGACGGTGCAGAGGCAGTGCCATCGGCACCATATTTGGCATGTGGATAGAGGAAGGCTCAGGTGCTGAATGCACAGGCATCCCCATACGCACTACTGCCAAACATGTGCCAGACTGCCCCTTGCGCCCCACTGCCCCTTGCGCCCCACTGCCCCTTGCGCCCCCCCACTGCCCCTTGCGCCCCACTGCCCCTTGCGCCCCACTGCCCCATGTCTGCTATTACACCTTGTGCCCCACTCACGGCACGCCAGTGCTGGCAGAGGCGCCTGAAAGCGCGCAAACCCAGTGAGAGGCGTCTCTGCTGCTGGCCGCACTTCCCCCACTAACCCCTACGGCACTGCTGGAACTGCTGCCACCCGTCCTGCTCATGCCTCCGTGAATGGCCGCAGAAGACCCAGGCACTGCGCCAGCACCGGTTTTGAGGCGCCTCAAAACGTGAATGGCCGCAAAAGACCCGGACAAATTGTTTGCGCCGGTGGTGACTCCGGCGCCAGCACCGGCTGCCGCAGCACCCGCAGCGTTAGTGTCGCCGCCACGCCTGCAGCTCACATTGTTTGTCTCATTATCACCCCTGTCACTGTCACCCCGGCTGCTGTCACCCCGGGTGCTTTCAGCACCATCGCTTTCAGGTGGGTGAGTGAGGGAGGAGAATTGCACTGTTACAATGTCCTGCGAGAGTGGCGCGGGGAGTGGGAGGAGAGGGAGGAGAGGGAGGAGAGGGAGGAGAGGGAGGAGAGGGGGGAGAGAAACAGAATAAAGATTCACCGCGAGACGAAGCACGAGGAAGAGCGAGAGAGGGAGGGTGAGAGGCAGAAAATGCTTCAATTGCTCTTGTTGCCAGCGCTCCCAAAGATGGAACCCACATTCGAGATGGCTCGTGGGTCGGTGCAAGAAGGTGGCCGGCCAACAAAGAGAGAGACAGAGAGCGACTTTGGAGGCGCCTCAAAGGCTGCGGGCAGAGGGCATTCCACAATGCCTTCTTGCTGGGATTTTTTGAGGGATTTTCTGAGGGATTTTTTGAGGGATTTTTTGAGGGATTTTCTGAGGGATTTTTTGAGGGATTTTTTGAGGGATTTTTTGAGGGATTTTTTGAGGGATTTTTTGAGGGATTTTTTGAGGGATTTTTCGAGGGATTTTTCGAGGGATTTTTCGAGGGATTTTCTGAGGGATTTTTTGAGGGATTTTCTGAGGGATTTTCTGAGGGATTTTTTGAGGGATTTTTTGAGGGATTTTTTGAGGGATTTTTTGAGGGATTTTTTGAGGGATTTTTTGAGGGATTTTTTGAGGGATTTTTTGAGGGATTTTTTGAGGGATTTTCTGAGGGATTTTCTGAGGGATTTTCTGAGGGATTTTCTGAGGGATTTTTTGAGGGATTTTTTGAGGGATTTTTTGAGGGATTTTTTGAGGGATTTTTTGAGGGATTTTTTTGGAGAATTCTCAACAAATCCCTGCAGAGGGCATTCCACAATGCCTTCTTGCTGCTCACTCTTTTTGCCTGCCGGCCATTCCATGACTTGCTCCCATGGCGCTTCACATTCGCCTTGCAAGCGTCGGTTTGAGAATTCTCAAAAGTGATTTCAATATGCCTGCCGGCCATTCCATGACTTGCTCCCATGGCGCTTCACATTCGCCTTGCAAGCGTCGGTTGCTCCCCTGCTCCCCCTGCGCTCACTTCCCCACTTCCCCTCTTGCTTAACCCCCCCTCACCCCCCCCCCCCCTCCTCCTCACTCCACCCCCCCCCCCATCCCCCGCCCCCCCTGATCCGCTGCTCGCACCTTGGTGGTTCGGATGTGTGCAAAGCGGTGCAGTTGGTCCTGTAGCCTGGTGAAGCGCCACTTGGAGGGATTGGGGGACAACGCATTGATACAGGAGGAAGGGAGGGTGGAGAAGGGGGGGTGGGTGGGGTGGAGCAAGGGGGGAGGGGGCTAGAGAGGAAGGTTAAAGAGGAGAGGGGGAAGGGGAAGAGGAAAGGGGTAGAGAGGGGGGAAGGGGAGAGGGGGGTAGAGAGGAGGGAGGATGGAGAGGTGGGATAGAGAGTTGATTTGGATTGGTTAAGTGCACCTGATTCAGTGGTGTTTTTTGACTCGACTCAACAATTCACCGGTGTTTGACATACAAGAGCAGCACAGGAAGGGAAGGGAATAGAGGTGGGAAAGGGAAAGGGAAAGGATTGAAACAGAGAAGCCAAGGCGAGAAGGGACGGACAGCACAGCACTGCACCGCACCGCACCACACTGCACCGCATAGCACCGCACTGCACTGCGCAGTAGAGCAGGGTGAGCTGAGTGTCACCTTGTGACTCTCCTCCGCCACACCCCCCGCTCGCCACAGCAGCAGCTGTAGCACACTCTTGCAACTGTAGCTAAATAAGGGCTGAACCGTACTGCACCGCACAGAAGAGCAGGGTGAGCTTTGTCTCTGTGTCTCACCTTGTGACTCTCCTCTGCCACAACCCCCGCTCGCCACAGCAGCAGCTGTAGCACGCTCTCCCGGTTGTAGCTGAACAGGGGGGTTTGGGGGAGGGAGATGGGAGGAGACAGGGGGGAGGGGAATGGGGGGAAACATGGGGGAGGGACATGAAGCAGCTGTAGCATGCGCTGCAGCTCTTGAGGTGGTAGCAAAGATGTGGGGGAAAGGGTGAATGGGGGAAAGGGTGAATGGGGGATGTGAGGGGTTCCTCCCCATCTGATCCTCATCTTCTCCTCTTCCCCTCTTCCCCTTCGCTCTCGTCCTCCCCTCCCTTCCCCGCCATCATTCTTTACTCTCCCTTCCCCTTTTCCCGCCCTTCCGCCCCTTTGCCTCCTCCCTACCTCCCCCCTTTCCTCCCATTCCCCCCCTTCCCCACTCACAGTCGTCCGAGCTGGCACACCACGATTGGCTCTCTCAGCGCCTCCCCCGTCAGCGCGCACGCGCTCCACGCGGCGTCGCGCTGCTCCCGCGCGCCCACGCGCTCCTCCCCGCCCAGCAGGTCCCCCGCGGACAGCTGTCCCCCGCGCGTCGACCGCGCCGAGTCCCTGCTTTGCGGTCGGGCGGAGCGAATGGGGAAAGGGGAGCGCAGGGCGGCGGGAGATGCGCAAGCCAGGGGGGGATGCGGTGAGGGGAAGGAGAGGCGGGGACCGAACGGTAAACGGCGGAGCCAGAGGGGGAATCCGGAAACGGGAGAGATTTTTAAAAGGGGCAGTTCACAAGGTATAGCCTGCCGGCAGGTAAGCAGGTGGTGAACGTAATGTAACAGTTACGGTAACGGTGGAGGTAGCGACCTGGAGGCGAGACGCCACGACGCTCCTCGGATAACGTCGGTTCGCGAAATGATGGTTCCGCCGTCCAGACCCATGGCGCTGCGGTAGACGCGGTACGGCCTTGACGATGCCTTGTGCGCTCCGGCTAGCGCGGTACGTCGCCTAAGATTAGGACAGGCGTTGAACGCTTATTTTCAAGTCGACTCGAAAAATATGGCGGAAGTGTAAAAGCGCGAAACGGCAGTCGAAGAAAAATACGTTGAAAGGATAATTGGGCAAATTATACTGGAGAGTTACTAACGCGTCTTCCGCTTAGGGCGAATTTATCCAGACTAGATCGAACCTATCCTTCATGAAAATACAAGCGGATTGTCAATAACATCTATCTCTCTGCTTCATTCTCCTAATTTTGTACAGACTACCCACCCCCCACCCCCCCCCCCCCCACCCTCACCCCCCTCCCCCCGTGCACTCGGCCTCAGGCCTTCTTCGCCGTTGGATTGGGGGTTGGTGCCGATCTATCTGTGGCAGGGGCTGATCCCTTCATCATTCTCCTTTCCATCACCACCAGTCGCCGCCACTCACTCGCTTTCACCTGTGCGGAAACCACAAAGCATGGTAGCACGAGGAGTGGGGAAAGAGATGGGATACTGAGTACTGCATTCATTTTTGAGGGGTCATGATGAGAGAGGGACGGCGGGGGGAGAGGGAGAGGGAGAGAGAGAGAAGAGAGGGAGAGGGGAGAGAAGAGAGAAAGAGAGGGAGTGGGGAGAGGAGAGAGAAAGAGAAATAGAGGGGAGAGGGGAGAGAAGAGAGAAGCGAGAAGAGAGGAGAGGGTAGAGAAGAGATGAAAGAGGGGAGAGTGGAAGAGAAGAGAGAAAGAGAGGGGAGAGGGGGGAGAAGAGAGAAGAAGGGGAGGTCTTTCTCTCCTAGAGATCTGCGTTTCGCGTTTCTCTCAGATCCTCCGCGCCTTTTTTCCTTTTCCCTCTGAGAGCTCAGACCTCGACGGGACTTTGCTCCTGAGGAAAAAGAGGCTCTCTTTCTGTTCTCTCCTCTGTCTCGAGATTTAAGGAAAGAGGTTTGACTGGTGTGAGGGTGGTGAGTGGGTAGGAAGCCAGCAGGAAGGGTGGAGGCGTGGGGGTGAAGGAAGGAGGGAGGGTTGGTATGAGGGAGGACAGGTGGATGGGACAGGATGGGAGTACCGTGGGGAAGCCCGCATAGTCCCTGGCTTCTTGATGTCCGATGCCACTCCTGACTTGGCTGCCACCCGCACCTGCAGGGGCCCGGGAGCGGAGAGGAGGAAGGAGGGAGGGGTGGTATGAGGGATGGGCAGGGGGTGGAGGTACCGTGGGGAAGCCGGAATAGTCCCCTGGCTCCTTGATGTCTGACGCCACTCCTGACTTGGCTGCTACCCGCACCTGATGGAGCCAGGGGCAATGGGGCAATCACAATGAGACACATGCAATGAGACAACACAATGGCACACGTGATGATGGAACACGCAGGGAGATACAAGCCGGCATAGTCCCCAGGCTCCTTGACGTCCGATGCCACTCCTGACTTGGCTGCCACGCGCAGCTGATGGGGCCAAGGGGTGGTGAGACGATTTTTGGGTCGACTCAAAAATCGACTCGGCACCTGATGGGGCCAAGGGGTGATGATGCACGTGACTCGGCACCTGATGGGGCCACACAGAGGGATAAAAACATGCACGCACGCAGGTACGCACGCAGCTAGTCCCCCGGCTCCTTCATGTCTGATGCCACTCCTGACTTGGCTGCTACGCGCACCTGATGGGAGCAGGGGCAATGGCGCACACACAATGAGAAACGGTTTGAGGGGGCTTGTTCCACAGGCAAAAGCACACGTGATGGAACATGCAGGGAGATACAAGCAGGCATAGTCCCCTGGCTCCTTGATGTCTGCTGCCACTCCTGACTTGGCTGCTACGCGCACCTGCAGGGCCCAGGGTGAAAGGCGCACCTGCAACGATGCAAGCAGTGACACACACGATGGCACAAGAAATGACACGAGCAGTGGTGCGCGAATAATGACACACACGAAGTAACAATACATGCGAATCAGCAAGTCACGGGGCTTTGATGCAGCAGGGCGGCAAAGCAGCAGCGGCGGCAAAGTGGCAGGGCGGAAGAAGATCAGCGAGTACTTATGAGAGGAGAACGCAAAACGCAACCAAAACGCAACTGTGAGAGGTCGGCAGAGCAGGGCTCAGGTCGGCAGAGCAGGGCTCAGGTGGAGAGTGTTCTCAGTTACATGGTGCATGGGCTGGTGCATGGGCTGGTGAGTACTTGTGAATCTACAGTGGCGTCTACTAATAGGGGTGGTGAGGGGTGGTGAGGGGTGGTGAGGGATGGTGAGGGGAGCACCTTATCTGCTATGGTGACATGATCCGCCACGCCCACTTGCCCTGCCAGCACCACGTAGTTGCCCAGACTGCCATGCATGCATGCACACACGCATTTGAGTGATTAATGCAATGCAGGTATGTGTTCATGTGATGGATCCCATACATGCACACACGCATTTGAGTGATTAATGCAATGAATGTATGTGTTCATGTGATAGGTGGATCCCATGCATGCACATACGTGAGAACGACTTTTGAGGCGCCTCAAAAGCCACGCATGCACATATGTGAGAATGAGTTCGAGAAAGTTAACTTGGACAGAGACAGATGGGGGAAACTGATGGGGGGAACTGATGGGGGAAACTGATGGGGGACTGATGGGGGAACTGATGGGGGAACTGATGGGGGAAACTGATGGGGGCAACTGATGGGGGAAACTGATGGGGGAAACTGATGGGGGAAACTGATGGGGGAAACTGATGGGGGAAACTGATGGGGGAAACTGATGGGGGAAACTGATGGGGGAAACTGATGGGGGAACTGATGGGGGAACTGATGGGGGAAACTGATGGGGGAAACTGATGGGGGAAACTGATGGGGGAAACTGATGGGGGCAACTGATGGGGGAAACTGATGGGGGCAACTGATGGGGGAAACTGATGGGGGAAACTGATGGGGGCAACTGAGGGGGAAACTGATGGGGGAAACTGACGGGGGAAACTGATGGGGGAAACTGATGGGGGAAACTGATGGGGGAAACTGATGGGGGAAACTGATGGGGGCAACTGATGGGGGAAACTGATGGGGGAAACTGATGGGGGCAACTGACGGGGGAAACTGATGGGGGAAACTGATGGGGGAAACTGATGGGGGAAACTGATGGGGGCAACTGATGGGGGAAACTGATGGGGGAACTGATGGGGGAAACTGATGGGGAAACTGATGGGGGGAACTGATGGGGGAAACTGATGGGGGAAACTGATGGGGAAACTGATGGGGGAAACTGATGGGGGAAACTGATGGGGGCAACTGATGGGGGAAACTGATGGGGGCAACTGATGGGGGAAACTGATGGGGGAAACTGATGGGGGGAAACTGATGGGGGAAACTGATGGGCGAAACTGATGGGGGAAACCGATGGGGGAAACTGATGGGGAAAACTGATGGCACACGGCACGGAATCCTCAGTTGCGGAAGACGCTCGACCCGTCTTGCAGCCCGAAAAAAAAAAAAAAAAAACAAATCCGCGCGTGCGAAATTTAAATTTACCATTTCGATGCGAAATTCAATTTCGCGCCATGAGAACCCCTTCCCACCCATTTCGACCATATAAACCAGCCCCCAAGCAATTTTGAATCCCCCCCAACCAAAATTGAACACAAACCACACTTCACCGCTTGGTATCTAGAAAACCCAAGTTATGGTACGGGGAAAAGTTGACCCCATTGTGGCATACGTGCATGTCCCCCACCCTCCCCATGCCCCATAGATTTTTTTTTGTCTGCCCGAACTTTTTTTTAGCCTGTCCGGGGTTTCGTCTAATACTGCGTCTATCTGACTCATCTAGCGTCTAGCGTCTTAGACGCTGCGTCTAGACGGACGCGTCTAAGACGCTAGACGCGTCTTCCGCAACTAAGACGGAATCTTTGGAAAGGAAGCAACACGGGCGGGCAGCATGTTGCTTTCCACGTGACTGGCCAACTCACGTGGACGAGCCGCCAATGCCGGTTTGACCGCAGATGATGCAGCAGCGACCGATGACCACATTGTGACCGATCTGCTTGGAGCGCATGGGGTCAGTCAATGGGGTCGGTCAATCAGGTCAATAGGGCCAGTCAATCAGGTTTATGCAGATAGTTAATGAGGTCTGTGGGTTCACTCAACGGGTACAGTCAAAGAAGGGGATGTGTGAATGATGCTGTTGGATTGGGTGGTGGCAGCTGAGCGGATGCGAAGCATTCTCTCTCTCTCTCTCTCTCTCTCTCTCTCTCTCTCTCTCTCTCTCTCTCTCTCTCTCTCTCACACACACACACACACACACACACACACAGACACACACACACACACACACACAGACACACACACACACACACAGACACACAGACACACACACACACACACACACTCTCTCTCTCTCTCACACACACACACACACACATGGTCCCGATATCCAAATTGGAGCGAAATTGCATGTCCAACCAAAGAGTTGACTTTTTAGGCGCCTCAAAATTCAACTCAACACATGCATGGTCACGATGGGGGACGATATCGAAATTGCAAAAGACTGCATGTCCATCCAGAGTGGCGCCCATCTAGAAGAGGAGTTCATCCAAAAGGTTGGTCCATTCAAAGAGGGGCGCGGCGCACCCACCCCACGCACGCACGGACCTGCCCACGGTTCCGCATCTACTGAGACGATATTTGAGGTGCCTCAAAAATCGCTTCAGTGCGTGCGGATCGGATTTCATACGGACCTGCTCGTGACTTTTGAGTCGACTCAAAAGGCGCCTCACAAATCGTCTCAGCATGTGCGGGTTTCATACGGACCTGCACGTGGTTATCGATCTTCACGTACATGCTCACGATATTAACATTGTGCAAAGAGGATTGTTGTACAGAGGGGGTGGTGCAACGAGGGTTGTAGGGGTGGTGCAACGAGGGTTGTAGGGGTGGTGCAACGAGGGTTGTAGGGGTGGTGCAACGAGGGTTGTAGGGGTGGTGCAACGAGGGTTGTAGGGGTGGTGCAACGAGGGTTGTAGGGGTGGTGCAACGAGGGTTGTAGGGGTGGTGCAACGAGGGTTGTAGGGGTGGTGCAACGAGGGTTGTAGGGGTGGTGCAACGAGGGTTGTAGGGGTGGTGCAACGAGGGTTGTAGGGGTGGTGCAACGAGGGTTGTAGGGGTGGTGCAACGAGGGTTGTAGGGGTGGTGCAACGAGGGTTGTAGGGGTGGTGCAACGAGGGTTGTAGGGGTGGTGCAACGAGGGTTGTAGGGGTGGTGCAACGAGGGTTGTAGGGGTGGTGCAACGAGGGTTGTAGGGGTGGTGCAACGAGGGTTGTAGGGGTGGTGCAACGAGGGTTGTAGGGGTGGTGCAACGAGGGTTGCAGGGGTGGTGCAACGAGGGTTGTAGGGGTGGTGCAACGAGGGTTGTAGGGGTGGTGCAACGAGGGTTGTAGGGGTGGTGCAACGAGGGTTGCAGGGACGGACCTGCACAAGGTTATCAATCTTCACGAAGTCACCAATCTGTGTGTCCCTCCAGCTGAGAAGCAGAGGGGCATGCAGGAAGTAACGCAGCACCATTGAGAGAAGGAGAGAAAGATGTGCAGAGAGAAAGATGTGCAGAGAGAAAGATGTGCAGAGAGAATGAGAAATGATGAGAGTAAACCACACCCACCGCTCTCTGTAAGCCACACTCACCTCACCTCTCTCTCTTTTGACCAAACGCACCTGCCCCTGTCCACGCATGTGTTTGCGCCCATCTCCACATCGCTGCCTATCTGCACCCCCAGCGTCTGCACTCGCCCATACAGGGCCAACATCAACACACACCGCCATCATCACACACCGCCATGTAGGAAAACAGAGACACAGAAGAGGGACGGAAAGACAGGACAAGAGAAGAAGAGGAAGAGGCTGTTTCTTCGCGTCTCTCATTGCAGATTGAGACAACGAGACAGATCACATCAGAGCCTGCTTTTGAGTCGACTCAAAAGCAAATTCAGAAAACGAGACCACATAAGAGATGGGATGGAGAGAAGCTGGAGCGAAGGGAGACGAAACAAGCAGGAGGAGAGGAGAGGAGTCTGTGAGAGGAACCTTGGAGTCAACGTTTGAGTCAACTGACTTTTGAGTCAACTCCACAAGACGATAAGCAGCAGGAGGAGCCTGAGAGAAGGGTGCAGTCTTCCACCTGCAGTTCCCCACCTGCAGTTTCGCACCAGCAGCAGTTTCCCACCTGCAGTTTCCCACCTGCAGTTTCGCACCTGCAGTTTCGCACCTGCAGTTTCCCACCTGCAGTTTCCCACCTGCAGTTTCCCACCTGCAGTTTCCCACCTGCAGTTTCCCACCTGAAGTTTCGAACCTGCCATTTCGCACCTGCAGTTTCCCACCTGCAGTTTCGCACCTGCAGTTTCCCACCTGCAGTTTCCCACCTGCAGTTTCCCACCTGCAGTTTCACACCTGCAGTTTCGCACCAGCAGTCTCGCACCTGCAGTTTCCCACCTGCAGTTTCCCACCTGCAGTTTCGCACCTGCAGTTTCCCACCTGCAGTTTCGCACCTGCAGTTTCCCACCTGCAGTTTCCCACCTGCAGTTTCCCACCTGCAGTTTCCCACCTGCAGTTTCCCACCTGCAGTTTCCCACCTGCAGTTTCCCACCTGCAGTTTCGCACCTGCAGTTTCCCACCTGCAGTTTCCCACCTGCAGTTTCCCACCTGCAGTTTCCCACCTGCAGTTTCGCACCTGCAGTTTCGCACCTGCAGTTTCCCACCTGCAGTTTCCCACCTGCAGTTTCCCACCTGCAGTTTCCCACCTGCAGTTTCCCACCTGCACTTTTCCACCTGCAGTTTCCCACCTGCAGTTTCCCACCTGCAGTTTCCCACCTGCAGTTTCCCACCTGCAGTTTCCCACCTGCAGTTTCCCACCTGCAGTTTCGCACCTGCAGTTTCGCACCTGCAGTTTCCCACCTGCAGTTTCCCACCTGCAGTTTCCCACCTGCAGTTTCGCACCTGCAGTTTCGCACCTGCAGTTTCGCACCTGCAGTTTCGCACCTGCAGTTTCGCACCTGCAGTTTCGCACCTGCAGTTTCCCACCTGCAGTTTCCCACCTGCAGTTTCCCACCTGCAGTTTCCCACCTGCAGTTTCCCACCTGCAGTTTCCCACCTGCAGTTTCCCACCTGCAGTTTCCCACCTGCAGTTTCCCACCTGCAGTTTCCCACCTGCAGTTTCCCACCTGCAGTTTCGCACCTGCAGTTTCGCACCTGCAGTTTCGCACCTGCAGTTTCCCACCTGCAGTTTCCCACCTGCAGTTTCCCACCTGCAGTTTCCCACCTGCAGTTTCCCACCTGCAGTTTCCCACCTGCAGTTTCGCACCTGCAGATTCCCCACCTGCAGTTTCGCACCTGCAGTTTCGCACCTGCAGTTTCCCACCTGCAGTTTCGCACCTGCAGTTTCCCACCTGCAGTTTCGCACCTGCAGTTTCGCACCTGCAGTTTCCCACCTGCAGTTTCCCACCTGCAGTTTCCCACCTGCAGTTTCCCACCTGCAGTTTCGCACCTGCAGTTTCGCACCTGCAGTTTCGCACCTGCAGTTCTCCACCTGCAGTTCTCCACCTGCAGTTTCGCACCTGCAGTTTCCCACCTGCAGTTTCCCACCTGCAGTTTCCCACCTGCAGTTTCCCACCTGCAGTTTCCCACCTGCAGTTTCCCAACTGAAGTTTCGAACCTGCCGTTTCGCACCTGCAGTTTCCCACCTGCAGTTTCGCACCTGCAGTTTCGCACCTGCAGTTTCCCACCTGCAGTTTCCCACCTGCAGTTTCACACCTGCAGTTTCGCACCAGCAGTCTCGCACCTGCAGTTTCGCACCTGCAGTTTCCCACCTGCAGTTTCCCACCTGCAGTTTCCCACCTGCAGTTTCCCACCTGCAGTTTCCCACCTGCAGTTTCCCACCTGCAGTTTCCCAACTGCTGTTTCCCACCTGCAGTTTCGCACCTGCAGTTTCCCACCTGCAGTTTCCCACCTGCAGTTTCCCACCTGCAGTTTCCCACCTGCAGTTTCCCACCTGCAGTTTCCCACCTGCAGTTTCCCACCTGCAGTTTCCCACCTGCAGTTTCGCACCTGCAGTTTCGCACCTGCAGTTTCGCACCTGCAGTTTCGCACCTGCAGTTTCCCACCTGCAGTTTCCCACCTGCAGTTTCCCACCTGCAGTTTCCCACCTGCAGTTTCCCACCTGCAGTTTCCCACCTGCAGTTTCCCACCTGAAGTTTCGAACCTGCCGTTTCGCACCTGCAGTTTCCCACCTGCAGTTTCGCACCTGCAGTTTCCCACCTGCAGTTTCGCACCTGCAGTTTCCCACCTGCAGTTTCCCACCTGCAGTTTCCCACCTGCAGTTTCCCACCTGCAGTTTCCCACCTGCAGTTTCCCACCTGCAGTTTCCCACCTGCAGTTTCCCACCTGCAGTTTCGCACCTGCAGTTTCCCACCTGCAGTTTCGCACCTGCAGTTTCGCACCTGCAGTTTCGCACCTGCAGTTTCCCACCTGCAGTTTCCCACCTGCAGTTTCCCACCTGCAGTTTCCCACCTGCAGTTTCCCACCTGCAGTTTCCCACCTGAAGTTTCGAACCTGCCGTTTCGCACCTGCAGTTTCCCACCTGCAGTTTCGCACCTGCAGTTTCCCACCTGCAGTTTCCCACCTGCAGTTTCCCACCTGCAGTTTCCCACCTGCAGTTTCCCACCTGCAGTTTCCCACCTGCAGTTTCCCACCTGCAGTTTCCCACCTGCAGTTTCCCACCTGCAGTTTCCCACCTGCAGTTTCGCACCTGCAGTTTCGCACCTGCAGTTTCGCACCTGCAGTTTCCCACCTGCAGTTTCCCACCTGCAGTTTCCCACCTGCAGTTTCCCACCTGCAGTTTCGCACCTGCAGTTTCGCACCTGCAGTTTCCCACCTGCAGTTTCCCACCTGCAGTTTCCCACCTGCAGTTTCCCACCTGCAGTTTCGCACCTGCATTTCCGCACCAGCAGTCTCGCACCTGCAGTTTCGCACCTGCAGTTTCGCACCTGCAGTTTCCCACCTGCAGTTTCCCACCTGCAGTTTCCCACCTGCAGTTTCCCACCTGCAGTTTCCCACCTGCAGTTTCCCACCTGCAGTTTCCCACCTGCAGTTTCCCACCTGCAGTTTCCCACCTGAAGTTTCGAACCTGCCGTTTCGCACCTGCAGTTTCGCACCTGCAGTTTCGCACCTGCAGTTTCCCACCTGCAGTTTCACACCTGCAGTTTCGCACCAGCAAGTCTCGCACCTGCAGTTTCGCACCTGCAGTTTCCCACCTGCACTTTTCCACCTGCAGTTTCCCACCTGCAGTTTCCCACCTGCAGTTTCCCACCTGCAGTTTCCCACCTGCAGTTTCCCACCTGCAGTTTCCCACCTGCAGTTTCGCACCTGCAGTTTCCCACCTGCAGTTTCCCACCTGCAGTTTCCCACCTGCAGTTTCCCACCTGCAGTTTCCCACCTGCAGTTTCCCACCTGCAGTTTCGCACCTGCAGTTTCGCACCTGCAGTTTCCCACCTGCAGTTTCCCACCTGCAGTTTCGCACCTGCAGTTTCCCACCTGCAGTTTCCCACCTGCAGTTTCCCACCTGCAGTTTCGCACCTGCAGTTTCGCACCTGCAGTTTCCCACCTGCAGTTTCCCACCTGCAGTTTCCCACCTGCAGTTTCCCACCTGCAGTTTCCCACCTGCAGTTTCCCACCTGCAGTTTCCCACCTGCAGTTTCGCACCTGCAGTTTCCCACCTGCAGTTTCCCACCTGCAGTTTCGCACCTGCAGTTTCGCACCTGCAGTTTCGCACCTGCAGTTTCCCACCTGCAGTTTCCCACCTGCAGTTTCCCACCTGCAGTTTCGCACCTGCAGTTTCGCACCTGCAGTTTCGCACCTGCAGTTTCGCACCTGCAGTTTCGCACCTGCAGTTCTCCACCTGCAGTTCTCCACCTGCAGTTTCGCACCTGCAGTTTCGCACCTGCAGTTTCCCACCTGCAGTTTCCCACCTGCAGTTTCCCACCTGCAGTTTCCCACCTGCAGTTTCCCACCTGAAGTTTCGAACCTGCCGTTCCCACATGCAGTTTCCCACCTGAAGTTTCGAACCTGCCGTTTCGCACCTGCAGTTTCCCACCTGCAGTTTCGCACCTGCAGTTTCCCACCTGCACTTTTCCACCTGCAGTTTCCCACCTGCAGTTTCCCACCTGCAGTTTCCCACCTGCAGTTTCCCACCTGCAGTTTCCCACCTGCAGTTTCCCACCTGCAGTTTCGCACCTGCAGTTTCCCACCTGCAGTTTCGCACCTGCAGTTTCCCACCTGCAGTTTCCCACCTGCAGTTTCCCACCTGCAGTTTCCCACCTGCAGTTTCCCACCTGCAGTTTCGCACCTGCAGTTTCGCACCTGCAGTTTCGCACCTGAAGTTCCCACCTGCAGTTTCGCACCTGCAGTTTCCCACCTGCAGTTTCCCACCTGCAGTTTCCCACCTGCAGTTTCGCACCTGCAGTTTCCCACCTGCAGTTTCCCACCTGCAGTTTCGCACCTGCAGTTTCCCACCTGCAGTTTCCCACCTGCAGTTTCCCACCTGCAGTTTCCCACCTGCAGTTTCCCACCTGCAGTTTCGCACCTGCAGTTTCCCACCTGCAGTTTCCCACCTGCAGTTTCGCACCTGCAGTTTCGCACCTGCAGTTTCGCACCTGCAGTTTCCCACCTGCAGTTTCCCACCTGCAGTTCTCCACCTGCAGTTTCGCACCTGCAGTTTCCCACCTGCAGT